ACCACCGAGGGCCGCGGGTTCCCCCGCACCTCGCAGGTGAACCTGGCGCTCTGGCCCCAGGGAATGATCTGCTGCGACAGCTCCACGGTCACCTCCGGGGGCTCTGCAGGGGGGAAAAGGGCAGCTGTGAGGGGATGACTGGCACGGCCGAGGCTTCGGGGCCGTCCCTCGCGTGGCAGCAGCCACCCCACGGGTCCTGTTTTAGAATCAAATGGCAAAGGTGGCACTTGTGCTGGAACAACGTGTTGTCACCTGGATGAAATGCAACCTGATAAAACACAAGGATTCGCCCCCTGATGCTTGTGAGAAGGGGAAGGTGGAAATATTTCAGGTGTAATATCCCTTACATATCACACCCTATTGAAGCCACCCCACGGGTCCTGTTTTAGAATCAAATGGCAAAGGTGGCACTTGTGCTGGAACAACGTGTTGTCACCTGGATGAAATGCAACCTGATAAAACACAAGGATTCGCCCCCTGATGCTTGTGAGAAGGGGAAGGTGGAAATATTTCAGGTGTAATATCCCTTACATATCACACCCTATTGAGAGCTTCCCTGCAGAACAGAACAAAAAGCAAGGTACTTGGATGTCTTCCCCACGACAATGTCAAATATGTCTAAGAAACAGCCAATCCTCCCCTAGGAAGTGCCAGAGCGACCCCAGTGCAAATAACAAAAGAGCTTTTGCAAAGGAAGGGCGGCTCCACCATCTCCAGCCCACGGTGGGAGCCAGGAAGGAGGAACTACCATCCTCAGGGAAGAACTTCTCTCATCTCCTAGAGACTGGAAGCACAAGCAGAGGTTTGCATTACACTGTGGTTTGTCCTGGAAGCAGAAGAGCATGGCCACGCTAGTATTCTCCCATGAAACCAGCAGAGAAAGCCCAAACCCTTCCTGAAAGGAGGGCTGCAGAGAAAGCCCAAACCCTCCCTGACAGGAGGGCTGCAGAGAAAGCCCAAACCCTTCCTGACAGGAGGGCTGCAGCAGCACTCACCGAACACCTGCACGTTGTAGAAGATGAAGGCGGCTCCGGGCTCCCCGACCCCGTTGTCAGCTGTGCAGCTGTAGGTGCCCGAATCCTCCTCGCTGGTGGGGTCGATGAGGAGGTTGCTGAGCAGGAAACGTGTCTTGTTGTAGGCAGAGACACTGGAGCCATCCTTGGCCCAGGTGACCTGGGGAGGGGGGATCCCGCTGGCCACGCACTCCAGCATGAGGCTCTGGCCCTTGGTGACGATGATGGTCTGAGCTTCGGGGGGGTAGATTATCCGGGCTGCCTCTGCTGTGGAGCCTGGTGTGGAGAGGAGGAGGAGGAGGAGGGAGGAGGTCAGTGGGGAGGAGGGTGGCCAGTGGGGGTGGGGGTAGTGTGCTGCTGCCTCGTGCTGAGGTGGACAAACAGCAGAGAGGGACATTCCTTGAGAGATGCGTGCACACAGCGAGCTGTCCTGATAAAGGGCTGAGAGCCTTTGCTCACCCACCATCAAGATCAAGTCCCAGGGTTGCACACACACACCCCCACCCCCCAGGAGCAGACTCAGGGGCTTTCTGCTGCTGGGAAGTTTTCCCAATAACTGTTCACACAGAAGAACATCCTATGGAGAAGATGGGTGGTGAAGGGAGAGTGGCTTACGTCTCACGCGGAGCCTCTCGCTGGAGACAGAGGTCTTCACCTCCTGTGTCACGGGGTTGTAGGCAGCACATTTGTAAGTGCCCTCATCCTCCTGGCTGGCATTGACTATCTGCAGGTTGCCAGATGGCATGATCAGGTAATTGTCTGTAGAGACAGAAGAGGACACGGCACACGGTCACAAGAGATGCTCCCACCCAGCCTCCTGGAAGACATGCAGTGCTCTGAAGGAAAGGTGGAGAAGTGGGAGGGGAAAAAAAACAGTGTGAGAACACTGACAGCACTGAAATGACCCTTTTCAGTTCAATGATCAGTGGGGGCAACGATGCAACGATGGAAGGAAGAGAGCTGCAGGTGAAGCTTGCTTATCACCAATACATGCACCCAATGAAATGAACCTGCAAAATTTAGATCCAAATTTCCAAGTTTCCCCAAATTCAAAGTCACCTTTACCCAGGCTGGGCTAGAAGAATGCTTCATGGGCACAGGGAGACCCCCAGTGAAGAGTGGCACTGTGTAGCACCTCACTGTACTTCCCTTCACCTTGCTGCAGGGTGGTGTCACAGGGAGACCCGGCAGAGACCCTCAACCAGCCTCTGCTCAGACTGGTGACAACGGGACAGTGAGGAGGCAGAGAAAGCTCCTGCTGGTGGGGAACAGTCAAACTGAGGGTCCTGGGAGGTGACACTCACCTCGGGAGGCCTCAAGCCACTCCTGCTTCACGCTGTAGCGGACCTGAGCCTTGGGGTGACTCTCGGGCAGGTCGCAGGCAATCACGGCCGTGTTCCCTTCATCCACCTCAATCACGTGCTGCCCATCAAACTTGAAATCTTTGAGATCTGCAGAGAGAGGGAACCACGGGGCAGCTCAGGGGCTGGCTCAGCACCTCGGTGTCAGCTCATCCCCACCCTCCCCCCGCAGCCCCAGGGCTGTCCCACCGCCGTGCCGGCAGAGGACGGCTCTGCCCCCAGCAGTGAGGGAAGCTGGCCTGCTTTCAGAGCTTTAGATTTTTTTCTTTCCTGCTCCTCCTTCCTACAAAATGGATAACTTACAACACAGCTTCTGGAGAAACTGCCTGCGCCACAGCTGAGGAACTGGGTGTGAAAATTCCTGGCCTGAGAGCAGCAAATGAGCCAACTCACTGCGGCCCCGAAGGGCAGCCAAAAATGGTCCTTCTGCCACTTGCTGTTTCAAAGGCAGCTGCTGTCCTGCTACTGAGAGGCAAACTCTGCAGTCATAACTCAGCCAGCCCAGCCTTCAGGGGTGCAGAGGCAGCAGAGACACAGTGGTAACATTGCTTACACACCTAAGCAATCGGCGTGTCTGCTCTGGGCACTTCTGCTCCCACCAAATATCTCCTGGCCAAATGCTGCTGATGATGTTTTGCTTATGACCAAGCAGTGCCCACACCCCAGCTCAAAGAACAGTGACCTGCAAGGAAAAGCAGCTCCTCCCCTGCATGGCATAGCTGCACCCATGAAAACACCTCGTGTCCCCCTGCAAGGCTGTACCAGGGGGTTGCTCCCAACGTGGGCAGCAGGACATGGAAGCAAAGGGGTGGGGGGAAGGCATGCTTGACTTTTTTGGGTTCTGTTTGGTTTTCCCCCCCCCATTTTTCAAAGCAGGAGCAGAGGACTGTGGTGAAACCCTGCAGATCTGGATGGGCAAGGAGCACAGCAACCTGGCCCAGCCAAGCTTCCAGGAGGTGAAACTGATCCCTGCTCTCCCTGGCCACAATGGCAAATCTTGCTGGGGCACTGCAAGCCCAAAGTTGGCCTGGGTCAGTCTGTGCTGTGAGGGAGAAGGTAAAAAAGTCCCACGGGTGCCACGCAGCAGCCAAAGCGACCACCAGTGACAACAGCACGTCCTGCAGCAGGTCCCAAGTCCTGCTGTCACACCAAGGCTCACGCTGGCCCACCCTGCAGCTCCCACCCTCCCGTGACCTGGCCACGTGCTGTCAGCAGCTCCCTCGCCCCTCAA